TTGATTTCTTAAAACCTGCAGTGATAACATTAGGGCAGGGGGAGAAGATGCATATCCCGTCCCACAGCATTAAATGACCTAATTGCTCTCTCCAATACATTGTTCATTTTTAATTAGCTCACCAAGGAGTTAATAAAAATCTTGGCCAGTAAAATAACAGAAATATAATTTGTTCACTCTTTATTCTTCACTTCTGTAGCTGTGCACTTCTACTGTAATTGGAGTGGGAAATATGGAGGTGGCAAGCAGACAAGGCATCAGGTTATTAGTGGGCTGTTGATACAAACCAGCAAAGTTTGGTCATTCTGATGGAAGACAATGAGAAATAAACTCTTTCTTCACAAATGCAAATATAAACTGAGTTGTTATTTTTATGGCGTGAGCCTCGCAGTCAGGACAAAACACAACGTGGTGTGGTATTTGAACATATTTTGTAATCCCTTCTCCCATCACAATGAGAGAGTAATCCTTGTTGACTATTTGAGACAGCTTGTGCATCAACATTTTATTTAAACTTGCACAGATCAGACAGTTGTACTATCAAAGGGGCAATGACAGTGATGGTAGAAGCATTGTTCTTGTAAAATAGAAATAAGAGATTATTTTTGCTATAGGTAATATCCAGTGTGGGTCCATCAATAAATTGCCTGCAAGTTGTTATGATTTTAGGTATTTGCCTAACCCACATGCAGAACACTCACAGGAGACAATGCAGTCTTTTAAAAGTTTATTTATACAGAAAATAAGTATTGAAAATCATGATGCCAAGGGGCAGGTGCGGCAGGAGACTTTGGAACATCAGATGAATCCGCCTCGGGGGAGTGAGATGGGGTCCGAGTGTTGGGCCAGAGGATGAAGGTGAGTCTTGTGAGCATGGTGAAGGCGGATCAGGTTTGAACACAGTAAACTGAGGAGAGGAGTCAGTAGCTTCCAGCCTGTAGATGTACCAAGAGATCACAATTAATCCGTAGTGAATTGTCGTGGAGGAAGATTGCTTGGGAACGAAATCCAAAGGCTTTTGTTTCCTGAAGGGAACAAAGGAGAACAAGGTAAGAGTAGAGAAATCAGGGGAAACAATGCAAGAAGTCAAGAGGGCCACAAGTACCACTTAAGATTAATATTCTGGCATTAAAGTGCAGGCAGCCAACTCCTAGTAGTCTTGACCTGATGAGAAACAGGTGCAGGCAATCAGCAGAGCAGCCCAACCGACCATGCTCCCAGATGACCTCTGGAGGATGGACTTGAAAACTGCAAAAAATAGAGGAGGAATCAGGACCAAGAACCAGACCCCAACACAAATATCAGGCTGAAGAACCCCAAAGGGCTCTACAGTACATTCTGTTATGGTGCAAAAGGTTGAAATTATGTTTTGCACTCTTACTCGTCGTCTTCAACTCCATTCAGGAACAGCTTCTCGGGGGCAGAGGTCTCAGCTAAGAGTCCCAGACTTCCGTCTCCATGGACACCTCCTCCAGCTCTGCTACCAACGGAGAGGCAAACTCCCTACAACATGTCCGGGGTCGTCCGCTTGACTTTCTGTTTAGGAGAAGTAAGTTGTAATTGTTACTACTTACTTTTTCCAAGCAATGTGGTCAACACCACTCACAAGGTAGTGAGGCTACTTACCCATAGCTGGGACAGTGGTTAACGAGTGCCAAGAAATGTCCACATATTGTGGGGTATTGCACTTCGTCTCTGGGGCCCACTGTTGCTCCGAGATCCCCCGCAGTTTGGCCTGGATCAATAAAGTACCCAGTTTCCGTGTGTGGCCACGTGGAGGCACTGCAGGGGTCTTTGTGGTGGAGAGGCTATGTACTGGCAGGAGAAGAACCAGACACATGGTTCTTTTCACCCTACATGTAGGG